TAAATAAATAAGAATTATTTGTTTTAGTAGAACATCAAAAAAAGATTGTAAGACTAATGTGAAATGCAAGTAAAACAAAGCACTTTAAGACATACATATATACACAAACACACACACACACCGGCCACTTTTTTTAGGTACATCTTACTATTAGCAGGTTGAACCCCCTTTTGTCTTCAGAACTGCTTTAATCCTTCATGGCATAGATTCAACAAGGTACTGGAAATACTCCTCAGAGATTTTAGTCCATATTGCTGAAAATTTGTCAGCTCATGACTTTGAACTCATCGTCAAGTTCAAGCAGCCAGTCTGAGATGATTCGAGCTTTATGAAATGTTGTGTTCTCCTGCTGGAAGTAGCCATCAGAAGATGTGTACACTGTGCTCATAAAGGGATGAACATGGTCAGCAACAATGCTCAGGTAGGCTGTGGCATTGACACAATGCTCAATTGGTACTAATGGGCCCAAAGTCTGGCAAGACAATATCCTCCACAATATTACACCACCACCACCACGAGTGGTTATATGAGTATTGAGTTACTGTTGCCTTTCTATTAGCAGAAACCAGTCTGGCCATTCTCCTCTGACCTCTGGCATCAACAAGGCAGTTACGCCCACAGAACTGCCGCTCACTGGATATTTTCTCTTTTTCGGACAATTCTCTAAACCGTCGAGATGGTTGTGCGTGAAAATGCCAGTAGATCAGCAGTTTCTGAAATACTCAGACCAGCCTGTCTGGCACCAACAATCACGCCACGTTCAAGTTCACTCACTTAAATCACCTTTCTTCCCCATTTTGATGCTCGGTTTGAACTGCGGCAGATCGTCTTGACCATGTCTACAATGAGTTGCTGCCATGTGATTGGCTGATTAGAAATTTGCATTAACGAGCAGTTGGACAGGTGTACCTAATAAAGTGTCCCGTGAGTGTATATATCACACACACACACACACACACACACACACACACACACACACACACACACACACACACACACACTTTTGTGCAAAACAAAATCTATAGTATCACAAAGTTCCAGCTGTTTAATAACTCATACCTTACATTTTTCCAAAGTGCCCTGTTTGTTTGTCTGCGCTGAATCCTGCACGCATGAATGGCCAATCTAATGATGAACTGCTTCAATGTCCACGATGCTCCATCCTGTGTGGTTCTTGTCTTTACCCCTGCACTTCTGCCGTCTGCACCAACAAGCTGTGTGCGCTGGTCTCCACACTGCTGACCTGTGACGTGGTGACAGATCCAACGAGTAGAGTGTTTGGTTGTCCAATATTCAGAGCCTGTCCCAAGTGTTACAGTCTGATTATGCATGAAGGCCATGGATGCAAGCATGTAAGATGCAAATCATGCCATCACCGGTTCTGTTTTATCTGTTTGCAAGGTGACTGTAGCAAAGACAAAGCACTTTACTGGACACTAACTTGTGCAAAGCAGAGAGCAAAAAGGCAGAGATTTATGTCAACAGAATCTTGAATTTAGATTCATCATTGGAATGGACTCAAAAATGACAAAACTCAAGAACTGTCAGTTGAGCTGCTGTGCAGGAATTAAATCCTGAAATCTTGGATAACAGTCCTGGAGAAGTGACACTACAGACTTCTGTGTACAATATTATTAGCAAAGCTTTCTATACGCTTTCTCATACTAGGAGCCGGTTACTGTTTTTCTACCTAAAATGACTGCAACATTGTCGTGTAGCAATATAGAAAGACACAGCCTTCTATTCATCAAGAAATAAAGCATCCGATGTGTGTAGCACTGAGAAGGTCAATTTATTTCAATTTTTTTTTTAATTAAATCCCAATTATCATTTTTAATTTCCAACTGAAACATAATGCCATTTTGCCATGCTCATTTTTATATTATTATGATTTTACTTGATCTTGTAGTGTTTTGTTTAACATTATGACGGTGCGTTTTCGAGGCATATTTCTTCATAAGTTACAGATAAATATTGTCTCCATTTCAAGGTTTTTGTGTCACAGGGCGAAGTTGTGAAGCAGTACTTTTCCACTGCTTACGCTTTGGTTGAACAGCACTAATGTTGTGCTGACCTGACAGAGGAGGAATAAAGTTCAGTCGGTGTCACGGTATTGAAAAACTAAAAGTGTGTTCATACTTATGGTTTGGAATGTGGTTGAAAGTATAACTATACATTTAGTTCCCTTTTTGGTTGGCATTCATTTTTAAAACACAAAACAGCTTTTATGACATACAGTCATAAGGTATACTTAAGCTTTCTGTTCTTGTTATGGTCATATCTTGTGATAGCATGTCCTGGTTTTGGTTTATGTGTGTATTTTTTCCATTAGTAAGTCCAACGACACAAATCCCCTTTTTGCCAGTTGGTCCCTGGTGCATACGAGGGTTTGGATGAAATCTTTCAAACATTAATATAACCTAAATCTGTGAACACACCCTGATTATTGAATAAAACTACATCATTTTATAATCAGACTGATTTTCAGTTAATGTAGTTTTGGGCACTAGGCAAAACAAGCTTGCGTAAACTGCTTCTAAATAAAGGTCAAAGAGCTTTCACTGGGGTGGTACCTTTGCAAATGGCACACATTTATACCCAAAGCCAATTTTCCACTGCTCTGTAAGATAAGGTTCGGTTCAGTTTGCATTTCCACTGCAGTTCAGTGCCACTTAAAAGGGGTGGGATTATCAATATAGCTGGCCCGCCAGTATTTTCATTCAAGTTTGTTACATACAACTCTTTCTGGATTCACTACACTGCTACCAATGAGAGGAACATCTGGTGGTGTATTTATCATCCGGTGGTTTAATAATTCTTTAGTTGTGTAATCCAACAAAACAGCAGTGGCTGCTGCTCACTATTTAAATATAGCAGGTTTTGTGTCAAATCCAACTATGCTGATAGTGACAATTCACTAGTTACCAATAAGCAATGTGTATATCACAAGTGTCAAAGTCAGTTCCTGGCGGGCCGCTGCTCTGCACAGTTTAGGTCAAACCCTAATTAAACTCACCTGATCAAACTAATTAAGTCCTTTAGGCTTGTTTGAAACCTACATGTAAATGTGTTGATGCAAAATTGGAACTAATCTGTGCAGGGCTGCGGCACTCCAGGAACTAACTTTGGCACCCCTGATGTATATAACTCACATTTAGGTATCAGTATGGCTTTCTTGAAACCTCAACCCAGGAGGTCCTAAGAAAAAAGTACCAGGTAGTATGGACGAAACGCAGCAAAAAATCTCCTGTGCCATACCAAACCATATAATGCAGTAGAAATTCCTAAAAAGGTCAGTAATTGTACCTCAGAGGTATAAACTAGTAACTAAAAATTTCATGAGATAAACTTGATTTTTTTAGGTACTATTTTGTACCTTTAAGGTGGCAATATTGACCCTTTATTTATAAATGTATACCTTTTGAAAATATACAGCCCCAGTAGACAGCTCTTCTAACACTTTTTGACTTGATTTTAACAGTTTTTGGTACTAGAAAAAAAAATAAAGGATCCAGTATTTCTGGCATGTTGATTCAGTCTTAAAGTTTTCATATTAAAGTCTTAAACATAAGAGTACTGTCCAGGTTTATGATACTACCATCAGGCTAGAGCTGGACGATAAATCAATTTTATCAATTTACTCGAGTGTGTAGTTTACATCGATTTGTTTGAATAAAAATCAGTTTCACTCTAACACATGCGATGCTCTCCTTTGGGTTCCCACAGTTTCCTTGTGGATTTTTCCATAGAAACACAAACAACATGCCAGCCAGCAGGGATGAACCTGGAGAAATGTTGCACTCTATGAGTAGAAAAAAAACACTGCGGCACCAGTGCACCGGTCTACCAAATGCAGCAGCCCAATACAAATAAAAGCAAAAAAATATAACCAATCCACTAGTGATTTATATGAACAATATAACACAATAAAATAGAATAAACCTCTGAATGTATGTTCATGTTGAAATAAAAAGCACAAAATAATAGGGAAATTAATCTTCTTGAAAACTGTGCCCTTTTTAAAAAATCTTTAAGAGTTTACTTTTACTTAAATTTTTTAAAATGGTTTAATTGATATTACTATTATTATTATTATTATTATTATTATTATTATTATTATTATTATAAAAGTCTTATATGCAATTGTAAATGGATCTTGTTACATTTATTCTTTAAATGACAGCTAGAACCGTTCTTCAGGGGAAAGTTTTTTTCTTAATCATTTTTAAATCCTGTAATTATATAATTATATGCTTAAGCACATTGTATAGGTTAATACCCTTTGAGTCTAAAAATCTGAAAAATCTATTTAAAATCATAAAGAAATTTTTTTGTGAAAGAAATGAGGGATTAAAATAATAGAAAAATAAATAAAATAAATCGCTGAGTCCTTCATCAGGCACTAAATATTTGAAAAGGCATTAAACGTATAACAGACAAATGCTTCTCATCCAGTTATTCCAGATTTTAATTCATGAACATTCATAGGGTTAGTTCACCCAAAATGAATAAAAGTTGTTTTATTATTTATACAGATTAACAACTCCTTTATGAGAATTTTAACCTTGATTTTCAGAAAAACAGAAACAGTAATTATTAAAAATAGCTTAGATTGTGCTTTAAAGCGAAACCATAGCTAATCTAAAACAAGAAGATTCATTCATTTTTGGGTGAACTTTGCTTCTCCTAACCTTTCAATGCCTGGGGGTGACCTGATATTGACTGGGCTCTATGCACAGCTAGTGTTTTTCAGCCAATCATAAACTTCCGTTGAAAGCTTAATTGAAAGCTTAATTGAAATGTTTTCAAATGAGCATGGTACCTTTTACTGCATCGATGTTGTAATGTAATTACAATACATCCAATATTCATTTAGTTGTTCAAGCATAAATTAGATGAAAGACCGTGTAACCACTAGCGCCATCAGGATTAGCAACAGAGCACAGAAACTCCATTGAAAATAATGGGGTAAAATAAACTTTCATGTTTTAAAGACATGTCGGGGGAAAATGGGATTTAATGCAGCGCTCCTTGTCCGGTCTAAGACCTACTTTATAAAGGCAGTGAAGATAACTGATTTTTAAGGAAAACAGACATGGCACTTTTATAATGGAAAGAAAGCTCACCGGAAGCGCTGAGGCTGGCTGAAGTTAAAAGTCCATGTGCATGTACCCCATTAATGTCGCAAAACTACCATAAATAATGCTTTCATACAGTAGGTGTCATGAACACTGATGCGACCGCAATCCACCATCATTTCGAAACTTTTTCCCACACTGACCGCAAGTATAAGGTTTCTCTCCTGTATGGAGGCGGAAGTGACGCTTAAGAGTCAAAGCATGCCGGAAGCGTGCGCTGCAGATGGAGCATGTGTACGGCCTCTCTCCTGTATGGATCCTCTGATGAATCTTCAGATGGTGCTTGCGGTTGAAGTCTCGTCCACATATGATACAATGGTACGGTCCTCGGCCTCCGGGAAACATAAAGTGATCGGGCCTCTTGCGATTGTTGAGCTTTGGAAAGTGGATTTGCTGGCCCGAGCCTGACAATGACAGGAAATCTAGGTTAAAAGGCAAAGAAAAGGGAAAACTGCATGTAACTTCTGCCTTTTAAATAAATAGACCCGTCTTTCTATCATCGCCTTCTCAAGCATAGAGTTTTGTACAATACTCACCAACAGGGTGGTTGGCAGACTGGCAAGGCATGTTTGTATGGCAGCTCTCTGATTGCAATTGCTCAGGTCTCCAGTCTTCCAGCAGTCGCGATTGAGCCAGAGAAAGACTGTCTGAGTTTGGCTCTTCTGCTACAGAGATGGACACAGGGATTGGGTCACCATAACTCTCCTCTTTCTCCACCTTTATAGCCACTTCAAGGGACGACGGATCACTCAGCACATGCGAAACTTCTCCAGCACATGACAGGTCAGCTTTGGTCATACCGTGCTGCTCATTCTTGGTGTCTGAAAGGGGAAACACTCATTTATCCTGCGCTCAGAAAAATCAACTTAAGTCAACTTAAATTCTCAGAAAACAAGTTTATAGCTTATTTCGCTTCAGAAAGTTATTTTTTTTCAGTGCATGCAACGAAACTTCAGAATTCCAGACTTTGTGCTTTCATTTGAGATGTCACCGGGAAGTTCATCCGAATATGAAATAATATTTCTATGGCAGAACACAATATTATTTAGTCATGAATAGAAGTCAACAGTTGCCAGCAATCTGAGAGGCAAAAACAACAAAATATGCATACACATGAACAACTCCGTGCAAATGTCAACTTTGCCATGAAAAGTTTTCGCCAAAACAGTCAAACCCTTTCTAAGTTTTTTGCATAGGCTTATATTTTACAGGACTGTAAAAATACTCATATTTGTCTCTGTCAATGTTTCAAAACTATTATATTTGATTTACCAAAGTTGCATAAGTGGCATTTCACATCAGTCACATCCATAACAATGCTTTTTCCTCATAAATAAAAAAATGTCAACTAAAATTAAATCAATCAAGTTTGTTCTACAGTAAGCAAACTCTTATCCTTTTGATTAGCAGTGTTTCTTTTGGGTTGTGCAGTTTAATTCACAGAATTAGTATGTTGTGCACTGTAAACTTGCAGACTTTTTGGTCACGTTCATAACGCATGTCTATTTTCCTTATTCAAAATATAAAAGATGTTTACAGATTGACATATTTCAGATCACATAACTCTGTGGCGAGTTGCTTTACGAAATATCAACAGAAGTTCAATATAATGTTGACTTATACTTTCTCTGTGAAATGAGTTTTTATTGCAAATGTCACATCCATAACGCTGGAATTGCTCACATACAAAACAAAATTCCTTTCTGCATCTGCCGTAGTTATCCGGCTCTTCCATTCATTAACCACAATCAGACTGAAGGTTTGCATACTAGAAACGAGACTTTACTGCCCCACCAAGAACTTAACTCCTAATGCCGCTAGTTAACATACTCGATGCATTTCTTTTTCAATATGTCCCATAATTTTCCAAAATATCAGCCTCTACCAAATGGTAGATATGTTGGTTTATGGTAAAAGTACTGGAATTAATATATATACTATGTAAAATCCATAAATATAAAGTGTAAAACCAATTTATTTAAAAACACAATCAAAATAAAACATTTTTGAATACTAAATCATCTTTATTTTTTGAAGTATGCCATGAAATATTTCAGATTCTCATTTAACATGATTTTGTTTTTACTGTAAAAAAAGAAAAAACAAGATAACAAGTGTAATAGTGCAACAGGATTATGGTTCTTAGATGTCTTTTGTTTGTGTGTGTAAACCATTATTTAAAACAGTCATTTTAAGGGTCATTATTTAAAACAGTCAAAATATGGTCAACCATTTGGTAGAGCAGGCCGTTAAAGGGTAAAAACATAATAAAGCAGAGATGTCAGAAAATAGCCCTTCAGGAGAACCTGAAGTCTCCCCTAGACCATCTAAAGTGTCTATGTCCATGGTCCAGCTTTTATACATATTTTCTTGCCCACCTCTGTGTACCTGTGACCATCTTAGGAAGTCTTTACTAAAAGCTCATGTTAGGTGGTCATTTCATTTCCCCATAGCTGTGCATAACTTGTTCTGAGTATGTACATATATTCTTAAGCAGGTCCATTCATTTGATAAAATATCAATCATTCTCCTGAAATCCTGTCACAGATATAGCTTCATATGGGTAATTAACATATTTAATGAGTGCTTAACATGTTCAGTTATTCTTCAGCATTGCTTTGCATTGCTTGGTCCTCTGTGGGCTCATCTTACACACCACAGCCTGGCTCAGTTCTTCTCAAACTTACATGTTTGCTGCTGCACACTTTTTGAGAATTAAAATCTTCCTCACGTCTCCAAATAATCTATTAGGGGTTTATGAAGCAAAATGATCACTGTGTGCAAGAAACTAAGCATTATTTTTAGTTTGCCTGTACATGATTTCTCAGACTCAAACTAAGAATACACCATAGTCATGACAGGGCTTGCAAGAGTAAACATGATTGAGGTAAAGTTGCTTTTATATTCGCACATCCGTTCAGTTGACATGCTCTCTCACTTAGTGATTTGGGGGCCTAACCACTGAAATTCAAAACTTTCTCAATAGATATATTGTTTTTCTCTATAGATTTTTTTTGTTCATTTTAAATAAACTGCAAGCTAAAATATATATTTTAAGTGGAACCTTTATCTTCTTCATGTATATTTTTATACAATAAGCTAACAAATAAAAAACTATTTCACAAACTATGTGCAGTAAACTAGCCATATTTGTGATTGGATTTCAATATTTGCATGCGCTGTACAGAAGGAACGTTCCACTATTCATGACTATTTTTTTTTTACTGTGAACAATGTTGTATAATATCTAGGTTGTAACCTAGTTATTGGCCACTAATATGATTTCGCTAAAAAAATTAGCAAACAACACTTTTCTGAAATTATATTAAAAATTAAAAGTAGAAATTAAAGTCTGAATGTGTGAATCTTGAGCGACACGGTGGCTCAGTGTTTAGCACTGTCACCTTACAGCAAGAAGGTCATTGGTTCGAGTCCCGGCTGGAACAGTTGGCATTTCTGTTTGGATTGTGCATCTGTTTGCGTGGGTTTTCTCTAGGTAAGCTAAATTATTCTTGTGTATGAGTGTGAATATGGGTGTGTGGGTGTTTCCCAGTGATGGATTGCAGCTGGAAGGGCACCCGCTGTGTAAAACATATGCTGGATAAGTTGGCGGTTCATTCCGCTGTGGTGACCGCAGATTAATAAAGGGACTAAGCCAAAGAAAAATGAATGAATAAACAAATGAATGAATACATCTTAACCAACTTTACCTCAATCTAAACTCAAGGCTGGCCAATAAAATCGGTTTAGTCTGTTTCACTTCACTGAGGGTGGGCCATTTTAAGCGACTGAACAAACTTAAGTAACGTTATTTTAATCGTCTTTAAACCTCAAACACCTTACCATTTGCCCCGTGGTGATAGTGGGTCGCTTCCCCTAGTGAGTCAGAGTTTAAAGCCGATTCTGCGAGTGGGTTCCCGCACATCGGTACTCGCTGGAAAACAGTGGTGTCCTTTGGTTCACACAGCAAATAATCTTGTTCCGAGTTCACACTGGACTGGGTTTGTTGCCGGATGTTAACAGCACTGACCTGGAGCCCGCCGCGCTGAGCTCTGCTGAGAGGAGGAGGCATCAGCTGACCGCCGCCGCTGCTGCTGCTGTTACTGACGGGGAAATCCTCGAGGCTCTGCGTCTGCAGGTCCAGGCCACCGCACACTGAGGAGAGTTGCGTTTCAGCGGTTTGCAGTCTAAACTTGAGCGCGCTGTTGTCCCGCAGAGCCTCCTGAATCTGTCCCTGCACCTCTCGGAGGGCTCTGTCCAGCAGTCTGGTGATCTCCACAACGGCGATCTCCACCGCCACACCGAGCGCGTTTTGCAGGGTCGCGGTTAGTTCCTCTTGAAACGACAATGACACCTCTGAAGTCACTGTGGAGTTCGCAGGACCGCCGTTTACCTCCATTGTCCTTTTCGCTTAAAACTACTTTTTGACAGCACTTTAACTGCTTGAGAAGAGAGCCAGTGTGCACCACTAACGCTCGCTGAAGTGTCGAACGTTTAGTAGTTGGCCAACCAAAACATTTCCTTGGTTGCACTTATTAAGGCGACTCGACATTTGTGTGTAATTTTACTCAAGTCTACTTTTATCAAAAAGGCTGAAATAAACACAACACAACACAGAATTCTTTAAAAATACCATTTAGATGGCCAATAAAACTGTTAAATAGAATTATGATGGCTATAATAAATAAAACTCCAGGATACAGCACAGTTGTCCGCTTTTATTTGGTCATTCATTCTTTCTTTTTTCCTCCAAAAAAAAAAAAAAAAAAAAAAAAAAAAAAAAAAAAAAGGAGAAAAATATTAAATGGATTTGGCTGAAATGCAACAAAACTGTAAATCAGGATGGATTTAACATGTAAATAATTTGACAGAAGAGCATATTTTTCTTCTTTTTAAGTGTCTGAAATTGAAACATTTTCATAAAATCATGAAAATAAACTGGGTTTGCATTTGTTTCATGTATGATGAATATGATATTTATCTTTAAACAAGGTAATATATGTCTAACAACATATTTTTAAGGGTGTAATGATACTAATTTTGTACAGAAAGACATGCATTTTTATTGAAAGAAATGGCTGCAGACAATGGGCTATATGCACACAGATGTTTAAGACTTTTAAGATCTGATTTCTTTAAAAATTAGTGATCTTCACTGCCTGATAGATATACAATATTATGTTTATCTCAGATCAGACAAGAAGCACTGCATTAAATCCCATTTCTCCCCACCATGTCTTTAAAATTGACTGTTTATTTTACCCCAGAGTTTCAGCGCTCGCCTGCTGATCCTGACGGCACTAGCGTTTACACTGTCTTTCATCTTGTTTTATGCTTAATCAAATTAATGAATGCTGAAGTCTTTTTAACTGAATGTATTGTGATTACATTACAACATTGATGCTGTAAAAGGAACCTCATAAAATTAAAAATATTCACACAAACCACACCTGCCAACACTCTCGTTTTTCCCAGGAGTCTCCCGTATTTCAGAAAACTCCCCCTGCACACCAACCCAACGTGCAACCATCTTCATAACCGCTTCCCACTTTTAAGTTCGCGCACGAAACATGCTTTCATCATATACAGTGAACTAATAATTGACTAATGTCATTGTCATCTTTAAAATGTTCTTATAATTCAGGCATTCTCAAACTTTTGTCAGCTAACCATTATCTTAAAATGTGTAGGCCCACTTAAAATCAAGCTGTAATCTAACACAATAAAATCAATATTTCAATAATTTATCAATGCATATGCATAAGGCAAATGTGGAAATTAATCATGAATCATTATTTTATTATAAAAGATCTACTCAGAAAATAACAATGTTTTGGAAAATATATATTTAATATTGATTTATTTTAAAAAAATGCACAGTGATCTTGCTGAAAAACACTAGTCTTTACTACAATTTAAGATCCAACAGTCCACTTCTTTAAATGAAATGAGTGCAGTTAACTCAAAATGCACTGAAAGTTAGTTCATCTCATTTGAAAAGAGTTTTGAACTCAGTGTTAAAGGTATTGAGTTAACTAAATACCTCATTCAACTTAAATGGAGTAAGTTCACAGTACTCATATATAGATTAGTTTTTTAACTCACATGGTTTGTAGCAATCGGTTTCCTCAAACGGTTTGAGCTGCCTTAACTTATTGGGTTTTACAGTACTCAGCTGGTTTAAGTTCTCTTCATTTGTCAGGTTTTACTGTGCTCAAATTGCTTTATTTACTCAAGTGGATTAAGTTCACAGCACTCATTAGGATTAGTTTTTGAACTTAAATGATTTGTTGCAATTGGTTTCCTCAAACAGTTTGAGTTACTTTTTGGGGTTTTACAGCATGTATATCCACTAAATACAAATGGTTTTAAAATGAAATTAAATGTTTGCTATGTTCAAATTGTAAATGGGTTGTTCATTTATTCATTCATTTTCTTTTCAGCTTAGTCCCTTTTTTAATCTGAAGTCGCCAACCTATCCAGCACATGTTCTATGCAGCGGATGCCCTTCCAGCTGCAACTGTAAATGGGTTGTTTAGACTGGTAATTTCACATTTACTGCATGAATTTCAACAAATTCTAATAAGTAATTTAGCATTTTTGTCTCATTAAGCATTCAAATTAATCTAATGTGTAGTGCAGGTGAAAGTTATCAAGTTAATTTATTTTTTGACACACACACACACACACACACACACACACTTAAAAAAAAATAATGCAAAAGACAACCAACAGGTGTCGCAAACGCCTCGCCATGAGGGATGCTCTATAGCGCAAGAGACTTGCCAATGACCGGAGAGAAGGGGATTCCGCATTTAATAATTAAAAAATACAACACTACGTTAAAAAGACACAGTGTCGTGTATGTTTACCATAAGAAAAATAATTACAGAATTGATTTGACCGTGCATTCCTCCTACATCCTGCCACATGCAAAATCACAAACTGCCAATTAAAAGAAACCCATAATGTGGGATTACACGCGACATGTGTTAATTAAACCTGGAGGATGCTGAGCTGTCTCGATCCACGAATCCACCGAAAATAACGCAGTCTCAGATCTCCTGTGTGTACACCGTGTGCATGAACTGGCATTAGCGGGTTTACCAGCCTCACAGACGTACAGACAGAGGGGAGGGGGGCATCCGAGTGTGCGGGGTAGAGCTGTACAGTAAACAATTCTGGTACGCTTGCAATGATGCTACACATCAGAGCTGCATGCTAGTGCAGACGTCGCATGCCGCATGTGCACGCCTGTCAGTGGAGCCTGCCCGGGTGCACACAACCATACAGCCTGGACCAGGAGGAAAACAAGCTAATTTGGGCTCTCCTCGAGGGCGCGAGGGTGCATGATGAGAGAGAGGAGAGAACCGCTGCTATCATGAACGAATGTAAAATATACCACAGATTTTAAACAGACGTTGGTGGATTAGAAATAAAACAAGCAACTGGCCGAGCAATGGAGAGCCAGGCGGCGATGGAGCAGCAGAGCTACGAGGACGTGCGGAAAAGCGGGTATCTCCGCAAGCAGAAATCTATGCACCGGCGCTTTTTCGTTCTCCGGGCTGCTTCGGAGCAGGGCCCGGCCAGACTCGAATATTACGAGAACGAAAAGAAATTCCGAAGCAAGTCACCAGTCCCAAAGAAAGCAGTGAACCTGGACTCTTGCTTCAACATCAACAAACGGGCAGATTCAAAAAACAAGCACATGATAGTGCTGTACACCCGCGGGGAGAGCTTTGCCATAGCCGCGGACACCGAGGAGGTCCAAAACGAATGGTACCAGGCCATGCTGGATCTACAGTGTAAATGTGAGCAGGAAAATTATGTGTTATTGTACCCTAGAGTCGAATTCTTTAATGATCTGTCATTCAAATACAGGGCGCAGCATAGACCTTGGTGGTTGCAATTGCTTGCATCTCCCCATCAACTTGCGTGTTGCTGAGGGGAGCCCCCTTGTCTTCAGTGGATGTATATTTGCAAAGCTGTTTGGATTGAAATGCACGTTCTACCCCACCCGTCTGTTCAATGTAGCCACCACACCTGGAGATGTGGACGCACGCGGTATTAAAAGGGCTAGATTAATTACGGTGCATGCATTGTAGATCCATTCATAAATGAACGATATCATCGTTTGATTTTAATTGGAAAATCGACAAGCAATATAGCATATAATCAAATACTCCCCAGCACTAGACATAACTACTATAATGCGTAGTGTGAGAGTGGCGCATTGTGCAGCGGACGCTACTGCAGCGCTCACGACTGTTTTTGTTTTTCTACACATTTGTGCATGTTGTGCGTGTAACCTACATTTCTGTCATAGCGGTTTTGCCGGGGAGGGGAGCCGCAGCAGCCGTGCGTATTTATTGGAATACGGGTCTCCTCTTGCCTCATGTTTTGGTAGAGCATGATCCCCCCACCCTGCCGCTGAATGAACCGATCACCGGGTTGAACAGTAGGCCATCAGTGATCATATGGAGACATTAGTTGCAGAGCAAGCGATCCTCAAATCCTTCCTTTAGCACACAGTGCTTAGCATATATATAAGCACACCCCTCACAAATCAATCTTTTAAATTCATATTTTTAATAGGAAGCTATACAATATTGTATTTGTGCATATACATTAGATTAGTCAGTATTAAAGCAGCCAAATCTGAGAAATCTAATCATTTACGAGACCGGTCCAGAAACCACTACACCCAAATGTATGTTATAGTAAATATTAAATACAAATTTAAAAAGGAGTAAAAATCAAAAGAAGAAAAAATACATAAAGATTTTGATTGAATTTAATTGTATTATCTTTCAATTTCTAAATGTTTGCTGACTAAAATATTATTTTAATAAATATATCTAATAAATTTGTTATGTTTAAAAGCACCAAATTACATATATTCACTGAGAAATGGATAAAAATATTTCTTTTCAAAATGGGGTGTACTCAATTATGCTGAGCACTATGTAAAGACATTAATGGATTCATCTGGATAAAGTGTTTATATCCATCCACTGAACGCAGAGCAGCATCTTTCTTCATATTTTACAAGTACGCTTCAAATAGTGCAGCATTTCTTCAGTAAACTGATCGAAAAGCATTCTAACAGAAAACCAAATCAGTTGCAACCAATTAGTTTTATTAAACGGTAGTTAGTCCAAATGTGTCATGACCTGTTTGTTTTGATGAAGGTCTGTTAGGGTTCCTGTGCGACCTGGAAAATGATTGAACAATTTTCAGTCATGGAGAACACATGGAAATTAAAGAAATCATAATTGTCCTGGAAAAACCTTGTTGTCCTTGAATCTTTTTTTACATATTCTTGTAAAGCAAGGGTCTTTTTGGCAAACGACAGAATCCACAATGGTACTAGCTTGAGAAAGGGTAGCACATCAATATATGAAGTCTTTTTTTGTTGTTGTTTAGAAGAAATTTGAAATGTCTAGGAATATTACATGTAACGGATAAAAGATTTATACAATAAATATAAAAAAATATGTAAATTAAAAATTTAGCAATATAAAATAAACATTTTGTTTATATTAGTGGCTTAAGAAATCAAAGCTTTATTCAGTGTATAGTGTTCTTTATGGAAATATATTTTCTGACAATTCTGATTTGAAACAATTTAATGTTTTAATTATGTCTAAATAGATAAAGATAGACACATTTAACATCATATCTGCACAACAGTTCAATACAATACCATTAAATATTTGTGTGTTTATTTCACTGTTTTATAATCTTACTGTCTTTTATTTTATATCTGTAGGTAAGACTCCTGATGAGTGCGGCAGTGGAGGAGACTGTGGACTACCTTCCCCGGGCCCTGCCTTTAAGGAGGTCTGGCAGGTTAAAGTCTGGCCAAAAGGTTTGGGCCAGGCCAGGAATCTAATTGGAATATACAGACTTTGCTTGACGGACAAAACAGTCAATTTTGTAAAACTCAACTCTGATGTTGCAGCTGTGGTCCTCCAGTTGATGAATGTGCGACGCTGTGGCCACTCAGAGAACTTTTTTTTTATTGAAGTGGGTCGTTCTGCCATGACAGGCCCTGGTGAATTCTGGATGCAAGTAGAGGATTCAGTGGTGGCACAGAATATGCATGAGACTCTTCTTGAGGCCATGAAGGCCCTGAGCGAAGAGTTTCGGCAAAGAAGCAAATCTCAGACTGTTGGGGTGAGCTGTGGAGGAGGAACTGCCTCTAACCCAATCAGTGTACCGTCTAGACGACACCATCCTAATCTACCACCTTCACAGGTTGGCTTTTCCAGACGTGCTAGAACAGAAACACCTGGTGTCCACAACACTAACACTTCCCCAACTCCACGGCATGGTTTCTCTAGGTCAAGGACAGCCAGCATTGGGGCTCGAACAGAGGATGGAGGGGGCAGAGCAACAGCACTCAGCACGAGTCCTAGTCTCAATGGGTCATCCTGCTCAACCACCCCAACCCTGAGACCTAAACCAACACGAGCACCCACTCCAGCAAAGATCACTCTTAGCCTAGCACGATATACACCAAACCCTGCACCTTCCCCAGCACCCAGTCTCTCATCCAGCTCTGGTCATGGGTCCGAGTGTGGGTTGGGTGGAGCCACCTTTGGAGCAGTCCCCATCTGCACCTATGCTCGAATTCCTCAGAGAGTGTCTATGTCAGGATCACCCAGTGATTATGGTTCCTCAGATGAGTATGGATCCAGCCCTGGAGAGCACTCTCTGCTAGCTGCTGGACTCCCTGCTGCCCTTGTTGAAGGTGGAGCTAGTTACATCCTAATGGGTCACAGAGAAGGCTCTCACAAACGTGTTCATGGACGAAGAGTCCTTCGCCGTTCATCTAGCCGTGAGTGTGAAGTTGAGCGCAGGCTGCTCAGCAAGCGTGCTTCCTTACCGCCCACTTCTACCCAGGGTTTGGTCCCCCGCCGAAGGGAGGAGGAAGAAGAGGATGAAGAAGAGTATGCAGTCATGTCACGCAGTGCAAGTAGGGAATCTTTCACATCACGCAGAGGTTCAGGAGGTTCAGCAACAACATCATTGGTGCAGGAAAACTCTGCAGATAAAGGTGTGAGTACAAAAGGGGGTCCTGAAGACTCCTCAATTGACAGTGGTTACATGTCCATGTTACCAGGCGTTACAGCTCCTCCTGCTTCATTATCACTAGCAGTTTCTGGTTCAGATGCAGTGCCAAAGGGTGGAGATGAATACATGGCCATGACCCCCAATAATAGTGTCTCTCCCCCTCAGCACATTCGTCTACCAATCAGTGAAGGTTACATGATGATGTCTCCTAACAGTAGCTGTTCACCGGACTTGCACGGCATGAGTGGATGCATATGGGGCAGCAGAGGCAGCATGGAGAGTCGAGCAGGCAGCGACTACATGAACATGTCACCTATAAGTGCCAGGTCAGCTTGCAGTACTCCTCCATCACACCCAGAGCAACAGCCACTGCAGCCAAAGATGGTCTATTCATATTTTTCACTACCACGTTCCTACAAACACGCCACTCTCTCTGCCCGTTTTGAGGATAATCTGGAGAGGGTTTGCATGGGAAGAGGTGAAGCTGCAGGAAAAACTGGACATAGTGCTTATGATTGTGGAGGAGACACACCTGTGGGCTCAGGTGGCGGTGGACAACTTTCTCTGTCCTCATCTTCTTTTTCCTCCAGTTCAGCTAGCAGTGAAAGCCTTGAAGACAGATCGTTGTCTCTTTCTGTCGGTGGAGTGGGACGAGCAGCTAGGCTGAGCACAGGACACAGGGTACGGGGAGCTCACCCCAAAATTACATCCCAACACCATCACCAGCAGAGTTGTGGGCGAGGGGTTCCGAAACAGGGTCATTTACAGACAAGGAAAGACAAATCATCCAGCTATTTTGTGGATATGTCCAAAGCCAATACTCTGCCGAGAGTCAGGGAGACTTTGCTCCCAACGGCATCTCAGAGCCCTGGAGAGTATGTGAGCATTGTTTATCAGGGTGAACGAGGAGGACATAAGGGGAGAACTGCAGTGGAGTCAGGAAACTCCAGGACACAAGGACATCAGAGAGCCTTTCACCGACCGCAGCCATGTCAAGGTGGATCTGCCAACCTTCCACGGAGCTTCTCAGCACCTCTTGCAACTTCCATCTCATTGTCCTCTGAATATGTGAACATGGACTTGGGTAGCTCACCCTCTTCTCTCACTCCCCTCTCTTCTTTTAAACCTGCCCCAAAGGTTAGAGATGAGATCAGCAGAGTTCCTCTAGTAGAACAGGAGGTTGATATGGGACTCAGGAAGAGCAAAGTAACAGGCTTGACACCCAAAGATGTGGCTGCTGCCCCTTTTACTGACTATACTGAGATGAAATTTGGCTTGGGGGGAGATTCAACATCTAAATCCCCAAAACCTGGCCAAACACCCCTGCCATCCTCCATGGAGCAGGAGCATACCATGAATTTCTCCTCACCTAAAGCTTTTTCAAATGTGGATCAGGGTGCCCGCGTAGTCAGGGCAGAATCATCAGCAAGAAGGCGGCATCGCTCAGAGACATTTGTTGCCCCTCCAACTCATCCCCTTTCCCCCTCTGCTTCCCCTTCCCCTTTTCCTGAAACGCCACATAGTGGTCTACAACGACAGCAAGGATTAGAGGGCAACCTTTGGTCTAATAATCAGCCACCCTCTCCAAAGTGTGCCAGCCCTGGAGCAGCAACTCTTCCTGCCGCTCAGGGATCTTCTCTAACCCTGGAGCAAGGCCTGAACTACATTGATTTAGACTTGATCAGTAAGGAGAATCAAACAAGTGTGGATGGACCTTCTGGCCCACACTCATTTTTCTCTCCTGTAGTGGGAGGGTTGACTGGTGGATTGGGTGGAGCAGGAGGTAACACCACCTCCAGCATCAACACATATGCCAGCATTGATTTCATCAAATCGGATGAATTAAGAGTTCATCAAAGCAACAGGAAGGACAGCAAAGGTAAAAAAAAAGTATTATATACACTACATAATTTTACTACGGTGTTACTGTGCTGACTACGGTGTTCCCTTTTTCCTACTGTTGCCATTTGGCATTCCAAATATTAATATATAGTTGTTTTTCCACCTTTACTGAGGTGCATAATGTGACTGCTGAGAATGACCAGTAGTGCAAAACCTTTTGGAATTTTCTTTTCCTTTAGCAAGAATTATACAGACCAAAGTATCAGTATAAGACAATATCCCAGATCAACAACATGATTCTAAAATTCATTCAAAAAATAGATGCATTTTTTTTTAGTGTTAAAAAGTGTCTTTCTAATACTTACAGTAACGGTATTTATCTTTTAAAGGTTATTTTGGGATCTGACTTATGTCTTATTTATGCAATTTAACAACAGTAAATATTGTTAGCGACATACTTCTTTATCTAGGCTGCTTTCTGCCTGGTTCCATTAGTGAAGGGGAGGTGGAGTATAAGAAAAATCAGCTCTTGCAACTATGTACTTAATGTACTATTAAGATAATTTAAGTTGTTGGTTGTGAGCGTGTGTTTGTTGGATTTTTATAAACGCACGGTATCCAGGCAGTGTGAGTACAGACATATGCGTGTGTGATGCATGTGGATAGAGAATATAGCATATTTGTGGCTTGTCTAAGCGTTTATAAGGGATACCTCTGAGCAGCCCTGCATCCACATATATATTTAACTCACTGTGATTGTAGATAATTATGGATATTTAACTTCAGACTTGCTAAAAATCTTCCTGAATGTGGTTCTGCTTCTACTCATCTCTCTCCTATTTTCCTTTTTTCTCTTCTTTCTTTAAAGTCTTTCATCTTGACCTCCCATCTCTCTTTTTCTCTCTCACCATAACATATAGACAGGCTTTGCAAGAAAGCACTACTCATAGACTTATTATGATCAAATTGGAAATAAGGATACTGTTCATATGCACCTCGCTTGCAATGAGAGCTATAGAAAGAATTGATGCAGTGATCGTAAAACAACTAGTCAGATGAGTAGTTTGATTTGCTCTTATAAAGTGTTTTTCAGGGCGACACGGTGGCTTAGTGGTTAGAACTTTCACCTCACAGCAAGAAGGTCACAGGTTAGAGTCCAGGCGGGGTCAGTTGGCATTTCTGTGTGGAGTTTGCATGTTTTCCCTGTGTTGGTGTGGGTTTCCTCCGGGTGCTCCGGTTTCCCCCACAAGTCCAATGACATAGGTGAATTGTGTGTGTGTGAAAGAGTGTGTATGGGTTGCAGCTGGAATGGCATCCCTGATGAATAAATGGGTGGTTTTCAACCCTTCAACGGAACCTTTGTCTGCGTAAATGTTCAGCCAAAATGTTTTAATTATGCTGCTGCATGTGATGTTTTAAATGTTTTATCTTATCTTAGCTAACGGTGCTAAAAGACAACTGCATTGGTTTTACATATACCTATGTTTGCATCCATCTATTTTTAAGAGCATTTTGCAATATTGCATAAATAATTGCTCAACAGAAAGGAAATGGCAAATCAATTTTTAATATGTGCATAAAAAAACTGAGTAGGACAAACTTTTTATCTGATCAGAAAAAATGTGCATAAAATACAATGGAGATATATACTGAATAAATTCCAACATGCACATCAGAAAAGTCATGTGATTTTGTTTTAACTCTTATGCTAACAAAAGTTTGTGCGATGAAATGGCATCAATGGACTACTAGCTGACCCACCATGCACAAAATCTGAAGTGATGTTTTGGTCATTTTAAAGTCTGTCATCAAAGTGGTTCAGTAGAGTTGAGCGATTTGGCAAATCAAAATCTCAGTTAATTGAACATTTTAACTCGATTACAATTAATTAACGATTATTTTATTTAGTTATTTTATGTTTTTGCCCTCATAGTTGACTGACAAGCTTTGTACAGTAGATATGCTGACATATTACAAGTGAGAGATATTTGAATGTAGGGTGCATTACTTTTATTCATTCATTTACTTTCGGCTTTATTAATCCGGGGTCGTCACCGCGGAATGAACCGCCAACTTATCCAGCACATGTTCTACGCAGCGAATGCCCTTCCAGCTGCAACCCATCTCTGGGAAACATCCATACACACCCATTCACACACATACACAACGGACAATTTGGCCTACCCAATTCATCTGTACCGCATGTCTTTGACAGAGCACCCGGAGGAAACCCACGCGAACGCAGGGAGAACATGCAAATTCCCAAAGAAACGCCAACTGACCCTGTCTTCATGTTCTAAGGAACAAGATATTTATTATATAAGAAAATCTCAATTTCAAGTACGCACTTCTGTTCTCATGGAGACCGGTCTTGCCAGGTCACCTTGGAAGAATGAACTCGGGAGACCACGAGAACGCGTACTGTAAGAAATGAGATGCTGCGGTCTCCCTGGTGGTCATGTGACCATGCGTTTTAGCGGACAATTATTTTAACAATTAATGATTTATTGGTTGTTCTCTTTTCAAAATATGTAACATGCACAAAAACGTTACAAATATACTTTACACAATACAAATAAAACAGATTTAAATACAAATTTCAGCTAATAAACTACCTTATGGCTTTATTAAGATTTTTGTGTTAATGTTTAGTTTCGCCATCTCATTTAGGATAACTCCTGTAATAAATAAGTTATATCTCTGAACTTTAATAATAAAAGGCTGTGGTTCCCACCTCCTTTATTCAGCCCCAATGGCTTCTGGGACTTCTAGAGCGAGTTCGGTGCTCAAGTCTGCATTGGTGCATCCTTGATATGCGCAGGTATGTGTCTGCGCAAAGGCTGTGGACCACATGCATGCGCTTGATGCAGAAGACAGAACAAGGTCACATGACTCCTGATTAATCGATCAGCCCTAGTTTAGGGGTAGGGAATAGGTATGGATTTCATTTTCCAACTAAAATGATCTTCCAGGATCAACATAAATGTTAAACCAGGATTGGGTCACTCTTGACAAAATGATGATGTGCGTTTATCAGGAAGTGACGATTAAGTTCTCTTTGACTCATGGAAACAACGCTTTATTTGCAAATGTTTTAAAGTTTGTACATACGTCTAACTCCCATTGTTATATGAAAACATAGCTTGTCAGATGTACTGCCATGCAAGCAACATATTTTTTTACTAATAGTTTTGAGGGCAGGGTTACCTGTTTTACAATAGCACAGGGAGGGAGTGTTTTGTACACTATTTAATTTGCAATTCCATTCCAAAAGTGACACAGCAATTGCGCACTACAAAACCTTGGGTTTGACATTTTATTTAGAAAAAATTGAGAGGTGGTTGCTGTTTATAAGTTGCCATCATCATTACTAGGGGATTGCTAGGCAGTTGCTAAAGTGTTTTTTGCTAAGGTGTTTTTTGCCTGTTGCGCCTGAATTAGCATGCACCTCACTTCTAATTATTTTGAGTCAATGTCCCATCCACCATTTCTCGCATAGCTCAGATTAAGACAAAGAAATGTCAAGGTATTATCCTTGATTGTGTGTAGGTTAGTGCTTGGATTTCCTGAAAATAGTCTCATCAGGGTGAAAAGCAGGATGCAAATTACAAGTTGGGTTGAGGGTTTGACCTCATTAAATAACACTTGATCCCCCTAAAGGACAAGATGCGTTGTGGGTCTACTCTTTAAAAAGTGAGAATAGTTAACACTGATCTATATCTAAAAATAATAATAATAAGTTGATAAAATATAAATTTGACACCCTGTGATGGCTCATACCATTGTCAATGCATGACCACTCCCAGTAGGGTCAATCTAGTCTACTCACTGCAAGTGTTAAGGGGTATTTTTTTCTTGCGAAATTAGTTTTTGAATCTACAAATGGTCTTAAGGTAAAGTCAAATTACACTCATATAGTGTGTATTTTAATAGACGCCTATGCTTGCACAAGGAAGTTAAAGAGATGGTTTAAAGTGTATTGGTGTATAAGGTGTTTCTAAGATGCAAAGCAATGTGTGCTCATGCTTCATTAGTTAAAAATCACGTTATTTTATTTCATATATCTTACTTTAACTATATACAGCTACTCTGCTAACATGAAAATGTCTGTCATATTCCCTAGTTCCTCCGAAAGGCCCACCCCCAACAGGCTCTGATTGGTCAGCTAACATAATGTGCTGTGATTCACGAATCGGCTCCATGTCACCAGTAAAAGCGCCATGGCCCTACAAGCACACGCTTCTGCGTTGTGTAAATACTGTCAGTCAGAATAGCTGTTAGCCGTATCAGTTTGACCCTGAATCAGACAGAAAATGACACAGAGGACACAGCTGAACCTCATGCTTGCTCTCTAAAATAACATCTGATAAGTGTCATTTACATATATTCGGAAAAACATTTGTAAGTAATATAAAACGTTTACATATCTTTTGCAAGTTTGTTATTTGGGATATAGAATGCATGGAGAGTGGCCGCATAGAGAGGCGATGCAGCGCTGCTGAAGATTGTGGCTATTTACAGCAGTTTAAATGATAAATATGAATTTGTAGCTAAATTATTAACTGTGTCAAACAGTTCTTCTTTGTCATATGCTAGCTATATTTTTTATTATTCTCTGTATCATAATTAAAATTAAACTGTTAGCACTTCTCTCTTTGTGTCGTGTCCTTTGGAAGCCCAAATACAAAACAAACTCTGTGGAATGAACAGCGTTTGGACGCCATTTTAGCTTTCTCTGCTATAACATCACAGCACCTCATGCCTCGCCCGTCGTTGTGCGACATGTGTATGTGTGTGGTGAATGCACGTAGCCTGAAGTGTTTGTAATCTCACTAGCCTGGATGTATTTTTTGTAGTCCCCAAACTTCATTCTCTGTAGGCTTTGCTAAGCTAACTCTGTAAAAGACAATGTCTTCCTTTGCATTGAACTTCGAGCGTATTACATTCAGAGATGTTATTTATTTTCACACAGCTACATTACACATCAACATGAGTGTTGCCTATATTTACAAGTTGTGCAGCACCTGAAACTACGGA